AAGAATATAAGGAGATGTTTATCTCATTCCAGTGAACTCTCTCTTCTTTGAAGGGCACTTGTCTAATGAGTGGTGCTCTCTCTCAGAGCCCAGATCAAAAAGCCCAACTAGATAATGCACTAGATTAAGTTGCTACCTGGTTTTATTCTAAACTTCTTTAAATAACGTAGTGTACATGGAGACTTGTAATGACAACTGGAGAATTTGTCTAAACCTGACAACTGATTATACGCAGCGAATTAAGATGGATCTTGGCAATGTCAGCCAGATGGGTTTAGAGCGGAGAGCTATGTTTGAATCTTTAACGTAATGTAAGCGTAGGAAATCACCATGGAAGTTCTTAAATACACAATTCACGCCTATCTGACTATAAGCCAGCAGTCACAAATTGTATCTACTCTGCATTAAATAATAAAATGGTAAATATCAGCTATGGAGCTATAGCCTGGTCTGCTAATTAAATTAATATATTATCAGAGAAAAAGCAGATGAATAAGCACTATGCTAGTGTATCACTACTATGTAGAACTGTCAGTATTCTGTCATCAGCCGTATGGATCTAATTTGATTCACGGTTTGGTTATTAGAACATAATGTATATTAATAAAAATAATTAAATGTGTCATAAATATAAAGGGAAGGGTAAACCCCTTTGAAATCCCTCCTGGCCAGGGGAAAGCTCCTCTCACCTGTAAAGGGTTAAGAAGCTAAAGGTAACCTCGCTGGCACCTGACCAAAATGACCAATGAGGAGACAAGATACTTTCAAAAGCTGGGAGGAGGGAGAGAAACAAAGGGTCTGTGTCTGTCTGTATGCTGCTCTTGCCAGGGACAGAACAGGAATGGAGTCTTAGAACTTTTAATAAGTAATCTAGCTAGGTATGTGTTAGATTATGATTTCTTTAAATGGCTGAGAAAAGCATTGTGCTGAATAGAATAACTATTTCTGTCTGTGTATCTTTTTTGTAACTTAAGGTTTTGCCTAGAGGGGTTCTCTATGTTTTTGAATCTAATTACCCTGGAAGATATCTACCATCCTGATTTTACAGGGGGGATTCCTTCATTTCTATTTATTTCTATTTTTATTAAAAGTCTTCTTGTAAGAAACTGAATGCTTTTTCATTGTTCTCAGATCCAAGGGTTTGGGTCTGTGGTCACCTATGCAAATTGGTGAGGCTTTTTATCCAACATTTCCCAGGAAAGGGGGGGTGCAAGTGTTGGGAGGATTGTTCATTGTTCTTAAGATCCAAGGGTCTGGGTCTGTAGTCACCTAGGCAAATTGGTGAGGCTTTTTACCAAACCTTGTCCAGGAAGTGGGGTGCAAGGTTTTGGGAAGTATTTTGGGGGGAAGGACGTGTCCAAACAGCTCTTCCCCAGTAACCAGTATTAGTTTGGTGGTGGTAGCGGCCAGTCCAAGGACAACGGGTGGAATATTTTGTACCTTGGGGAAGTTTTGACCTAAGCTGGTAAAGATAAGCTTAGGAGGTTTTTCATGCAGGTCCCCACATCTGTACCCTAGAGTTCAGAGTGGGGGAGGAACCTTGACAAAATGCCATGCAGTTTTGAAATGCTCTTTCATTATGTACTTCTTTCAGTAAGCAAGTATATAGAATCAAACTCCTTTGACACGTATTTGTGAATTATTCTTATTGAACTATTTAGTAAGTATATTATACAATGTACTGCAGATTTTATTAAATCAAACTACTCCCTTAATATATATATTAAGATGTAAATTCATATTATAAATTATACATCTTATATGTTCTGAAACAACATTTAGCATTAATATAGCTCTTTTCATCCATAGAACTCAAAGCATGATTTATTACATATTTTTTTTATGTTTTCTAAACTTTTTATTAAGGCAAAGTTGCAATTTTTTTTTAAGTAGCTTTAATGCAGTAATAAGATTGTGGTAACAAGCACTTAAAAAGTAACAACATTAAGAAGTTGAAGTGCAGGTCTCCACTAAAAAGGGCCTTTGGAAAAATGGCGCTATGAAGTTCCACATTAATGTGTACCTCATTGCTTTCAATGTCATATCAGCTCTATTTTCTATCTCCTGGCTCTGCAAAATCATCCTGGATTCCATAGTCATAATAAATTCTTTCCATATTACACATCACCACAAGTGATAGAGGTTATGCTGACCAAGGCACAGATACACCCGTGCAGCCCGACTGTGTTAAAATTATATCATCAGATAATCCCATTCAAATGTAAGGATTTTCCCAAACATTAACTCAGCCTTATATCACATCTCACATAGCAGTATTTTATGGTATGCTGTAAAACAATAATACATTAACATCTGTTTTATTTACCAAGGAAAGTAGGCCCAATCCTGTTCCTCCCTAAATCATTAGCAAAATTCACATTGACTGCAATAGGACTGGATCCCTGTGGTAGGCTCCAGGGAGATCCCACATGTCTAGAGAGAAGAGACTTCACAAAAGGCACAGGTTTAAACTCCAAATCTCTCTCTGGAGTTTTTAAAAATAGATGGAGTTACAAATGTTTAAAACTGGAGTAATAGTGAATCTGGGACTTTCACTTAATCACACTGGCCTGCTAGTGGCCAAACTGCAAGAGAAGATGACAGTTAGCAGACCTTCTGCTGCCTATGAGTAGAGCCCTACCAAATTCACGGTCAGTCCATTTTGGTCAATTTCACAGTCATAGGATTTTAAAAATTGTAAATTTCATAATTTCAGCTATTTAAATCTGAAATTTCACACTGTTGTAACTATAGGGGTCCTGACCGGAAAAGGAGTTTTGAGGGGATCGCAAGGTTACTGTGTGTGTGCGGGGGGGTTGTGGTATTGCTTCCCTGACTTCTGCACAGCTGCTGGCAGCGGTTCTGTCTTCAGAGCTGGGCAGCTGAAGAGTGATGGCTGCTGGCCAGAAGCCCAGTTCTGAAGGCAGAGACACTGCCAGCAGCACTGCAGAAGTATGGATGGCATGGTATGGAATTGCCAATCTTACTTCTGCACTGTTGCCTGGAGAGCTGGGCCTTCAGTCAGCAGCTGCCACACTCTGGCTGCCCAGCTCTGAAAGCAGCAGCACAGAAGTAAAGATGGCATGGTAACGTATAGCCACCGTTACTTCTGCACTGCTGCTGGCCGGGCACTGCCTTCAGAACTGGGCGCCTGGCCACCAGCCACCGCCCTCTGGCCTCCCAGCTCTGAAGGCAGTGCAGAAGTAAGGGTGGCAATACTGTGACCCCCCCTGCAACTCTCTTTTGGGTCAGGACCCCCAGTTTGAGAAACGCTGGTCTCCCCCGTGTTATCTGTATAGTATAGGGTAAAAGCACACAAGAGACCAGATTTCACGGTCTGTGATGTGTTTTCACGGCCGTGAATTTGGTAGGTATCCTTTATTTATGTACAACAAGTAAGTTTGCTTGGTTTAGGTGTTTTGTTTTGTTCTGTTTGCTTGGTTTAGGTGTTTTGTTAGTTGTCCTGGTTCATATTTTAGAGATAAACGTTGATTTTAAAAAACTGTATGTTAAGGGTCGAACAAAGGGTCGAACATACATGCATTCACAAGTCTAGAAAAATTATAAACCAAGAAATTAAAAGGCAACAATGTAAAAAATAATTAAGCTGGCTGTTAAAAGTAATTATCAAAAGCTAAAGAACAAACAACAATGACAACTATGTAAATGAAGTAAAAACAGTATCCTATCCATCACAAATACTTATTTCCTTAATTAGGTATGTGTGTTACAAGATATTGTCATCACAGCATTAGTGGCTGTGAGAGCTACTAATTGTCTGCTCCTATATCCAATCCCAGTCTTTGACACCTTTCTATTTCTGGGCTAGGACAACTGAGGTCTTCTATCCTCTATTAGGTGCTTTATCCATAAAGGTAGGTAATCCATTTCTGTCCAAAGTGAATTAAAGCTCTACATAGGCTTTAAAAGCTAAGAATCTCAATCAAAAGATGCACTCCAAATATGTGTCTCCAATACCCATGAGTGTCTGTACAGCCACCCAAGCATCCCACAGAAACAGCCAGAACTTCCCTTACAATCTTTATTAATGTTACCCAACAATTGATAGTTGTGGTCAGTCATACCAAATATGCATCCTTTCCATTAAGGCGGGACCTTATCACTTATTTAATGCAATTGACTACAGCAAACAAAATTATACAGTCAAGACAGATGATCATTTGAAGTTGTATTGGCACTAAGCCTCTGATTCAATTGCAGCTGAATCAGCAGCTAACAACTATCTATATGAAAGAAAGCTATAAGAAAACAGCAAAGTAAATAAAAACTGCTTATGACTGCATCTGGTTCCCTATTTGCTCACTAAACAGTAGTATCATCAATAATGAACCATGTACATTTCCACTTTTTAATGTAGACCAGAGTGAAAACACCCATTGACTTCATTGGGGATATGATTGCACCCAGATATTTATAACCAACCTACATATTATTTGATATCCCTCTTTCAGTTTGACATATGCAGAATTATACCATATGTACCATATACCAGCTTTTTTCAGGATTCTTACTGAAAGATGTGACCGCATCCTAGTTTTAACATAACTCAGTGGACAAATTTGCTTTGTGCCACAGGTGAACCCTTTCCACATCAGAATAAGGCAGAACATTATGGAAATTTAAAACACTGATAATGAATGGAGACCGATTCGTATTAAAATATTTCAGAAGCTTTCAACTTAAGTTAAACTGTGCTGATACTGTATTAGTATCTAACACTACAAGGCAAATGGAAGTTATAACAAAACACTTTTTCAAGAATTCTACCTGTGCGTGTTGTTGACTTCCCAATAAATACTACCTTCATAATCCAAGGATATTTTATTGTATTTCTTCATTTTAAAGGGAACCTAACTCACACACATTTCTTAAGAGGTCCTCAGTTTCAGACTGTTTAAATATGAATACAGAACATATAGAGCAGGGGAAAAAATGGAAATTGCAATGCATCTAGTATCAAGAGGAGTAAATGTACTTACTTCATTTCTAATATTTCTTCAAGCTGTTTTCTCCGCTCTATTCTGAGGTTAGCCAGATGTGCTTCTTTCTCAGCCAGAGACTGCTGTGTTGAGGCAAGACGGGCTTTGGTAGCATCCAATTCTTGTCTGGTCTTTTCCAGTGCATTCATCAGTTCTTCTAACTAAAAAGCATAGATTGTTTAAGTTCCATATTCTTCATAGCAAATAATATTTTATAAACACAGAAAAATCATAGTAGGGATGAATATAAGTGGAAGCATTGTTCAAATCCATTCCCACTTTTTACTGGTTAAAAAAAAATCAGTTCTTAAACATCAGGAAATGATCAAGTTTCCAAAAATCCATCTAGTCACCAATAACATTTATACAAACCATTGAACTAATGTACATTACCAAGAGCCCTTCAACCTGTGCCATTGCCATAAATACTTCCTACACCACTTAGTCTATGGAATTCATTATGGACCTGTGGTAGTAACTCTATAGTTCAGGCTCTAATAGCACTTCCATTATAAACTGATCTTGACACCACACAAAACTTTCACCAAAAACCGCTCCTTTCAGACTTACGTTTTATGTGATAACTGGTGAGACTCTCTGATGAGTGTATGGAGCATGTGGAACAGGGGAAGAGCTAAAGTTCTGACATTTGAACATCTATTTTTTAATTCATGGAATATATTCTCAACCTCAGCTCCGTTTTAGCAATTTTTTGGGAGATTTCCCAATAAATACGAAATGCATTCATGGGGAATTGATTAAAAAAAACAACCCTACTTTAAAAAATAGCAATTTAGAAAAAAGTGTAGGCTGTGTTATAAAAGTGACATAATATTATTTAAAGAACAAAACTCAACCTCTGCAGAAAGGAAAATATATATTACACTTGCCTGGCAGCAGCAGGACTGTCTTGTGGGTGGATCATTACATTTACAGAACTGTTAAGTTTATATGACAGGGTAGAAGGTCACTACATGGTTACTGCTAAAAAGCACATTAACTCCAGCATGGCGTCCCCTTACCCTTGGCACAGAAACTCAGCAAGTTAATGAATGAGATAAGACTGAAGACTGCAGGCCAATCAGACTTGATGTCATCCACAGGTCCAAATTTTGCTCGTGTGTGAGCAGAGAATTAGGCTTCCAGTACATAAGTGCAATGGTCCTAAATTGGGGTTTTCACTTTGAGTTTTTTTGTCAGAGTGAAACCATTTTGTATTTGTTATATGTACCTCCTACAAACACATGACGAATAAAACACTTGAAAAGTAAGATTGGTCACTACAGATATTTTGTTGCTCTTTTCTTTCTTTCTTTCTTTCTTTCTTTCTTTCTTTCTTTCTGCCTACTTGTAATCTGCTAAAAATATAGTAGCCACTGTAGTAACTGCCACATCACTAAATACAGACTGTGGTATACTTTGGGGTATAATGTGAAGTTTTATACTTTTTGAAGAGTTTTGTGGAACAATAGGTGGCAGATTTCCCCAAGATCCTGCAATTATGATATTTAGAGAAATTGTGACACACTTTCTGTTTTGTTTTCTTACTCACCCACTCCCCTCTCCAAAAAATTAAAATGATATAAATTAACCAACAGCGGAGGAAAATATGTGATGCATTACATGAGACTAGCCAGAAAGTGATAGGGGAGGGAGCCAACTGGAATATATCCAACCTGACTGCTTTTTTTTTTCTGTGCTACCATATTGTTGATACTATGGAAGCCAAGCAAAAATGTTTGCTTTTGCTGGTGTACAGAAGAAGTCTGACAGAATTCAGCTACGGTCATATAATCAGCCTGTCTACAGAGAAAATAAGATGTTTTCCCCAAGTTCATTTTTAATTACTGCTTGTCTCTATGTTGTTATTTAAATCCTACTACCATGCAATCAGCACATATAAACCACATACTTCTTTTTCAAGTTGAGCAAATACTGTGTTGCTTTTCTCCCACATAACAGCTCTATGAAGCAGAATGAACACTATTATATGAATCAAACAATAGTAATCAGACTCAAACATTATTTAAAAACTTATATATTACTTAACCCCTTTACCATAAGTACAGTGCAGCCATTCTCTATTGACATTCCTTTGAGGTTGATGGGAAATTAGAATGTGCCTGGTACATTCAATACAGAAGAAGATATGTTCTACTAGGACATACCTAGAATTGTCCAGCTATACCGAAAGGACACTTGGTATGGATTTAATCAGGCTGCAACTTTATTATTAGATGTCTGGGACTACCTGGCAGGTAAAAGTGTACAGTGCAGGCAATTCCATGTTCATTGAATCCAAACGGCTACCCTTCCTCTGGCAAGACTGGACAACGTCTGTCCTGCTTCAGGTGCAGTGCAGTCATTAGCAACAGCAATGAAGTGGTTAATACCTTTCAATATCTTTCCACCCTGCCCCTCAAAAAGTAAAACTGGCGAAATACAGATATAAATGAAACAACAAAGAGAAATGATGTTCATCCTGCGACCAGTTCTGTGCAGGCGCAGAGTTACACTGATGCAGAGCCTCTTGCAGGGTGAGGACTTCACATTTATTTGAAAATAGCTATTACTGCCTTTCCACAGTGACTACTTCCTAGAAAAGTTATACTTGGGAAAATACATATTGAAAAAGAGAGAAGATCTGCACTGTGACCTACAGAAAAAAAGAAAAAGTGAACAAAAGGAAAACTAAGGATGAACACAAGGGGGTGGGGGTTACTTGCAATAATTTATATCATCTTTGATCATATAATGTCAATATGTTACCATAAAAATACAAATAGGATTTAATGTTCTACATAGTCACATACAAAGGCATGTGAATTACCTTACCTTGTCCCCAAAGAAGTCCAACTATATATAAAACTTAACTTAATATTTTTCTTGTTTTAATAGGATTATTCCAAAATCTCATCCTTAAATTTCTCCAAACCCTGTATGCTGTTTTATCTACTCAATTCACATTAATAATAAGTACCATGTAATTAAGTCCCCAATCTTAAAGTCAGTTGCATCTGTTAATAGTAACATCTATAAAGATCCAGGCCTACAAAGTGATTCAAATGCATGGTCCCTTATTTCACAACAGTGACATCAAAGTCAGTGGGACTCTGGAGGTGTGGGCCTGTATGCAGTACAAGACCCTGAATTGGAACAACAGCTTCATATCTAAAGTTTTAAAATTTACTTTTTCCTTCTCCTGAAGCATTAGCCAGATTTGTCCTACTGTGTGTTGATAGACACAACTCACATCAAGTTTCCTATCAAATCATTTGAGAATATTTTTAAAGCATGTAAAACGATCATTATCTTTCAACTGTTAATGTGATGACATTTTTATTTATTTATTTTTTACTTTATTTTGGGAAATAAAAAAGTCAAGTAGATTTGTAAAAATATCTACACATAGAAGTGATGAGATTTTAAAGGTAGAGAGAAATTTTTTTGAAAGGTGAATAAAAAAACTTTAAGACCACAAATCATTAGCATGTGTAGACTCAAAAGCTATACATACATTTACATTTTTAACACAATATTTGCAAATCAATTCCTCCTTCACTTTTCTGACAAAACTTAAGTTCAGGGTTCTATGTTTCCTTACCTACTTATCTCACAAATATCTAAAGCAGTACCAGGATTTGATTGGCAGGCAGGCTGGTAGCATAGAAGTGTAGGACTGGAAGGGACCTCCAGAAGTCTTCTAGTCCAGTCCTCTGCACTCAAGGCAGAACTAAGTATTATCTAAACCATCCCTGGCAGGTGTTTGTCTAACCTGCTCTTAAAAATCTCCAGTGATGGAGATTCCACAACCTCCCTAGGCAATTTATTCCAGTGCTTAACTACCCTGATAGTTAGGAATTTTTTTCCTAATGTTCAATTTAAATCTCCCTTGCTGCAATTTAATCCCATTGTTTCTTGTCCTATCCTCAGAGGCTAAGGAGAACAATTTTTCTCCCTGCTCCTTGTAATAGCCATTTATGTATTTGAAAACTGTTATGACCTCCCTCAGTCTTCTCTTCTCCAGACTAAACAAACCCAATTTTTTCAACCTTCTCTCACAGATCAAGTTTTCTAGACCTTTAATCATTTTGCTCTTCTCTGGATTTTCTCCAGTTTATCCATATCTTTCCTGAAACATGGCACACAGAACTGGACACAACGCTCCAGTTGAGGCCTGGAACAGTGGAAGAATTACTTCTCATGTCTTGCTTACAACGGTCCTGCTAATACATCACAGAATGATGTTTGCTTTATTTGCAACAGTGTTACGCTGTTGACTCATATTTAGTTTATGATCCACTATGACCCCCAGATCCCTTTCTGCAGTACTTCCCAGGCAACCATTTCCCATTTTGTATGTGTGAAACTGATTGCTCCTTCCTAAGTGGAGTACTTTGCATTTTTCCTTACTAAATTTCATCCTGTTTACTTCAGACCATATCTCCAGTTTGTCTGGATCATTTTGAATTTTAATCCTATCCTCCAGAGCACTTGCAAACTCTCTCAACTTGGTATCATCCACAAACTTTATAAATGCACACTCTATGCCATTATTTAAATCATAGATGAAGATATTGAACAGAATGGGACCCAGAACTGATCCCTGCAAGGCCCCACTTGATATGTCCTTCCAGCTTGACTATGAACCACTGATAACTATTCTCTGGGAATGGTTTTCAAACCAGTTATGCACCCACCTTACAATAGCTCCAGCTAGACTGTATTTCCCTAGTTTGTTTATGAGAAAGTCATGTGAGACAGTATCAAAAGCCTTACTAAAGTATAGCAGGAAGTGATTTTCAAATACCTTCTTCGAAAATGTATGTGTGTGTGATTGCTAATGTCACAATCAAGGTCAGTGCCCCTACATATATATATTAAATATACACACTCACATTATATTATAATGTAAAAGTATCAGCCAATCTTAACTATAGACAACGTTGCCAGCTACACCTGTAATACATTTAAAGTTCTAGAAAGGGAGAAAGATCAACCATAAGCCCGTACCCTAACGACAGAACCTATTCACATCCCTGATGTTGGGTTAAAATGATAAAAGATTATTATATGGGAGAGAACTAATCTATCACCATTTAACCCTAGTATTAGGGCTATGCAGAATCCCCGATGTTTGGCATTTGGTTTTAAGCTGAAT